CCCCCCCCCCCCCCAAAAAAAACAAGAAAAAAAATTATTCCAAATGTTTTGACTGGAACAATGCGAAAGTATTTTGTGCTGAATGTAAAATTATAAAGAAAGAAAAAAGCAGAAATTGATGGAAAATCTCCGTCATGGGAGCTCCAAATGCGTCCAAATAGATTTTAAATTTCAAAAATTTCTCAGAGGAGGCCGCTCGGACCCCCCTCTGTCCTGGGGGCCCGGACCTTAAAACTGGTACCAGGGCCCAAGATGGGATGTGGTGGGCCTGTATATACGAGCTCCATGAAAACGCATTTTCTTCCGTGTATTAAAGTTAAGGTATTTTTGAATCTTGCATTTCCGTCTACATACATTTTCCCTATTTTCATGCCTCAGGATGGTGTTGAAAAGAACGAAGAAATTGCTTTCTTAATATCCAGCATTCTAAGTGAAACCGAAAGTGCTATCGACGAGGTACGTATAAAAAAGTAGTAAACAGAGCGCTCATCCTCCTAACAAGGGAAGACCAACCCGCCTGGACAAAGGGAAATGCTTTTTCTAGGGCCTCATGACCATCCGAACCCGCTCCTCTTGTGAGGAGAGAGCCAGCACCGAAATATCAGACCGTAGAACATAAAAATGCTAACACACGTTCTTACATTGGAGTGTTTGATTGTTGCAAGGATCATGGCTGGTCACATCCGGTTGGTTCAAAATTTGGGACTCGCCTCAGAGCTTTATGCAAAAAAGGCTTTTTTCGCCCCCCCCCCTGGAATTTCTTCAAATTTCGTCAATTGATCACTCATACACGAGCGCTTCTTTTCCCAAATTTTCAGAACCTAAAGACATTTTTTTGGGGGGGGGGGGGGTGTTGTAGGTCGAAACCTGTGAACCTCAATACCTCTCGAGCAAAGGAAAATATCGAGGTCCGGTTTGGAAGAAAAATCGTCAAAAATTGCATACTTTAAGATTTTTAAGATCAAAATCCCAATATTACATTTTCAAGTTAACATATGTGCTTTTGTCAGTTTTTGGGTCTAGAAAATTTCTTTTAAACAAAGGATACACAAAAATCTCAATAATTGATTTGAACATAAACCAGTTTTTGAAATTGTTCGTCTTTTTCCGCATACATCGAGGGGTTCATCAAGCTGGAGAACGTAAGGGTTCGAGGGTTATGGACGATCGAAGTTTCCGCTCTATGCGCGCCAACCGATTTCCGAGCGTCCAAAACCCGATTGGGGTGTTTTTAAAACTGATTAAATGTTCAAACCGTGCAAAATAAGTTCAGGGACTCATGAGGTTCACTGATTTCAGAAATTACAGGTACTTCCAAAAAATTCACTTTTTTAAAATTGTAGGCTCACTGAGTGGCCGGTCGGCGCTCGTTGAGCCTCTAAAGTAGCGCTACGGAGCTGTAATTTTAAAAAAGTGAATTTTTTAGATGTACGTGTAATTTCTTAACTCAGTGGCCCTCATGGATTTCTAAAAACTTATTTTGCATGGTTTGAACATTCAATCTGTTTTAATAACGCCCCAATCGGGTTATGGAACCATAGATTGTCGCGCGAAAATTGGTCGGCGCGCGTAGAGGAAAACAGCGATCGTCCATAACTCTCGAACCCTTAGGTTCTCCAGCTTGATGGACTACTCGATGTATGCGGAAAAAGACGAACAATTTCAAAAACCGGTATAAAGCAGTTATTGAAATTGTCCGTCTTTTGTTCAAATCAATTATTGAGGTTTTCTGTATTCTTTGTTTCAAAGAAATATTCTAGACTCGAAAACTGAATAAAGCACATATGTTAACTTGAAAATGTGATTTAAGGATTTTGACCTTTGGAGTCTTAGCGTATGCAATTTTTGATGATTTTTCGTCCATTCTATACCTCAATATCTTACTTTGCTAGAGAGATATCGAGGCTCACAGGTTTTGACTTCCACCCCCTCACCCAGTGACCCCCCCCCCCTCAAAAAAGGTTTTACGGCTCTGAAAATTTGGGAAAAGAATCTCTCTAGTATGAGTAATCAATAGGCAAGGGTTGAAGAAATCCTAGAGAGGAAGGGGGGGAAGCCGTTTTTCCATCATGCTTCTTCCAAAAAATTGCGCTACTTAAGTAGCGCAATTTTATATATACAATTTAATAAAAAAATATTACCTCGCAGCGAGCTCGCAGACCGCTCGCAGCATGTTTTGGACCTCGCGGTTAGGTGATGACCTTGCCAAGACCTCGCAGTGACGTGCTGACAGCTCACGGCGAGGATCTCGCCTCGCGGATAGGTAAGGAGACCTCGCCGATAGGTGAGAGCATCTCGCGGATAGGTGAGAGGACCTCGCAGTTAGGTTGGCTCCTATCCACTGGGTGAGAGTCCTCACAGTAGGTATATTAGCCAGCAGGTAACCTGACCACAGAGGTAAAAGTAGGGTGAAAATGGGGATTTAAGCGCAAAAGTTTTTAGCCAAATTGTGCAGAAAAATATGAATTAAATTACAGCGTTGTATAGGGATTATTGTTCAATATGGCAACGCTGTAAAAAGAAAGTATTGCATGTTGCCCCTTCAATATGCGGGTTATGCAATCGTGTNTCATTAAAAATTAAGGATCAATTGCAGCATCTAATATATACTGATAAAAATGTTAAAAAAGTTTTTGAATTTGAAAGAAAAATTGTGTTTAATTCAAAAGCACATTCCTTGGCTCAAATAATTTGGGCGAGTGAACTGGAACTGTTATGTATACCAAAAAAGTGCCTTAAAATTAAACTCAATTTTTTATTCATTTTTTTTTTTAGAAAAAAAAACAAAAAAAACCTACCAATCAAAACTTTTTTAATCTTTTTTTTCCGTGAATCCTCTCACAAAAGTTCTTATCTATTTCAGCATGCCAAAAAATAAGAATAATCTGTACCTTCTTTGCACATGGTCTTCCAAAATATTCCACACTATGAGGCATTCTTCGCCCATGCAAGAATAGACGAATTCCAAGAATTCAAGGATCAGGTAGTGATTTTTAGAAAAATTGCATCGTCACTGGCCTAAAAAATTAAAAAAAATAATCACCATTCACCAAGGTCACACTCAAAATGAATTGTAAAAATGTCTGAATTTTGATAGTTATAAGTGAATATTTCAAGTTAAACTGACCGATTCTTTTCATTAATTTTAAGCGAGAGCTTTTCCTTCAGCATATCAATCACACATAATGTGCTGTTCCTTCTCCTTCAAGCAGGAAAATACTCATTGGAGGGAGGAATTTTCTTCAAATTTACAATACCTAATTACTCTGGAACTGTACTCTCTGCATCAACTTTACAGTGAAGGTAAGTGGGCATTTCAAAAGCCCAAATTTAGCATGTCAGCCCTTGCAGTTAAGTCAGTAAGTAAACGCATTTTCCTTAGTGCTTCTTGATTATGGTCTTATGATGCCGAACTTTTCAAAGTACTATCCATGAAAATTCAGAGGACAACCAGTTACTGACCACATACTTTTTCCTTTGTTTACATTTTTTCATTTATATTCTTATTTAAATTCAGTGGATAAAATTAAAACAAATCAAAACTGGAAACCAAGAGGTATGTAAAAAAATTAAAAATGTTGATCACCTTACAAGACTTACTCTGATCCTTTCTTTTCATGTTGACTCCTATTTTTTTCATGCAACCTTGGCAGGGAACAGTAGGACAGGGTCGCATATTTGGCCTGATCATCGCTAGAGCTTCAAATGGTCCTAACGAATCCTTCAACTTCTGCAGTTCAGTGTCTGGAATCAATATATCAGAGTGACCAAGTGATCCTTTAGATAAATGAAAAGTTTCCTATTTTTTCCATATTTTAACACACATACACTCAAAAAAAAAAAACTACGGCCCTGTGACCCGGTTGCTCTGGACACTGGTGATCCCGGTGTTAACGCGCCGTTAGCCAGCTAGTACCGGACACAGCGGCCGATGTCCCCTGGAGCCCACGCGGCTTCCAAGGCCGTAAGACCGGGTAGGAGCCGAGCGTAAGTTACGGGTTTCAGGATCGGAACCAACCGCTTCCACGGCCGTTGGCAGTGAGGTGAGATTCAGTTTTCGGAAAATGGCGTCACCATCAGATTAAAATTGAGACGGCTCCGTGTATATTCGCAGAAAATTATAATATTTTGCGTCAATGTTATTCAATCCGTGAATTTAAAGTTGCCGCCAGCCTTGAACATATTCGGGAGCGATCGAGCCCACCACTCAGCGTTGTTTATTGAGGTTAGAATCTAGTCACTAAATTGCTTGGTCATTGCTCATTACGTGTGTTCGTTTTTCGTTTAATTTTGGAGGTTTCCGATCTATTTTCTTGATTCTGTGTGGTGCACGATTGATTCTAAAGTTCTGTGTGATAACGCTTGTCAAATACTTTCGGAAATGCGACGAGAGTTAAGTGAAAATTGTCAGTTTTGGTAGTACCTACGCACTGAGCTCATACCCTCTCCCCCTGTAAGTTCGTTTGAAATTCACTTATTTTCCTCCTACTGAGGGAAAGAACTTAAATTAAAGAATAGCAATCAATTACCTGCCACGCATCTTCCCACAGAGTAAATTACCGCCACACTAAATTACTGATAATGTAGGCACGAGAATGTCCATTTATTGCTGACTGTATTCTATCATCACTTTTGCTTTGTTCTGCCCGTGTAAAAGGATACAGTTTTTATTCCATTTCGATCTTATCTCTAACTCATAGATGTTTTCAACTGTGAGTAGTATTGCAGTCTCTGACATCTTCCCTCTCTGTTACAAAAACAGCTGTTTGATAGCGGAAACTGTACA